TTGTTGAAAACTGGTTGGGCTTCTAGGAACACCACCTAACTTTTCTGAGATAGCACAGATTTCATTCCAGTCCCCCAAAGAAAACCAATTATTACCCCATGAAATTTTATCAAAGAGAAACTCCTCCCACTGAATTAATCTACTAACTTTGCAGGGACTAAAGTAGACAAAAATTCCCCATTGTGTATCCTGAAGAGGGAGTTGAAACTCTACCGCAATGTAGAAGTCTTTGCAATTGACCTGCTTGATGATTACATCAATATCCCAGAAGAGGGCTAGACCTCCACTAAGACCTTTTGGATTGACTACTGCCATTCTATCCTCATACCCCAATTTTCTGCTGACTGATTTGACAAAAGCCTGTTGCTTCTTAGTTTCTGAGAGAAAAAGGAAGTGTGGGTGGTGAGTTTTACATAACTCTCTGATTTGGGAAATTGTAGAGGGCCCACCCAGCCCTCTACAATTCCACACCATAGCTAGCATTGATCACTGTGGTGCCACTCTAGGCTGGCAGCCCCCACCTGGTCAGGATTCAATTTCAATTTCTTGCTGTTAGACTGTTCTGGAGTTTTGTGAAGTTGCTGAGTTGCGTGCTGTTCTTCTTCTCCTCTACTCTTCCCTGTTCTGTCCTTGGCTATATTTAAAGGAAGATTAGGCTCTCTTTGTAATCTCCCATCTGTCCCTCTGTTTCTTCTCCATGTTTTCAATGCCCCTGTGGGTATGGTGATCATAGCTTGTGGAATCTCCAGGGGGTCTAGAGATGCAAGAGGATCCCCTATATCCATCTCCATTTCTCCCACTACTTCTAGCTGTTTGAGATTGGACATTTCACCCTCCTCCTGTCTTTTGTGAGTATTAGAACTTGATGTGAGTGAGGCTACTGATTTCTCCTTAGAGATTGGAGTTAATTTTTCCTGGACTGAGACTAGTTGCTGACTTGTACCAGCTTGACTTGAGGATGCTATTGGCGATGATCTTTGGTCTGCTGCAGCTGAAGGAGATTCATTTCTTGGAGAGCTTCTAGAGTCTGAGGTGTGAGTATCAGGCCAATTCTGCCCTGCAGCTGCTTTCATCCATTCCCCGAATTGACCTTCTTTGAGGGAGTTACTGTTGATGTCTGAGACTTTCTTTGCACAGCTTCTGTCTAAGTGCCCTATCATTCCACAATAATGGCATAACTTCAGCAGCTTCTCATACTTGAATTGGACCTGGACTGTTTGGTCATCCAATCTGATATTGGCTATTCTGGGCAGAGGTTCATCCAGGTTTAATGTAACTAGTAACCTTAACATTTTACCTCCATGATTACCAGCATTAACCACCACTGCATTTTTCAGATCCTTAAAGACTTTTCCAATTTTAATACCTACTTCAGTGCTAACCCAATCTAAGGGAATGTTAGCCACTTGAACCCAGATATTAAGATCGCGGAAACATGGGTGTTTACTGGTGAGACCAGAAGTCCATTCCTTCAAAATGAGGTATTGATTATCAAAGCTCCAGTTTGTGCCACTAGCTACTTTCCTCATATCTTCCTTGTTTTGAAAAATAAACTGGAAGAGATTAGGACTTAGCTCTTTAATCTCCATAGGATGCCGGAGCTTCCAGATGTTGGTCATCGTTCTTTTTACTCCCATCCAACTTGCTGCCCTGTCTCCAACGATTTTACCAAAGAGGCTTCTACCGCATTCATCTGCACTAAGTTTTATATCATCCCTCGCAATGTCAATGACCACTGCTTCTTTATCAGAGAGTGAAAAGTCCTTCAATTGGTTTGATAAATCCTCGTCTTGACTGTCCGCCATGGATGCCGGAAACCTAGACTGGCCTTTTCCTCTTCAAGGCTATAATGTACCCTACAATATCTGGATCAATCTGTTCGTGATGCCACGACTAAAAACCACAGTCTGATGATAATAGTCACAGAAAACAATTGCTAAAGGATTTGGTCGAAGAAATTGGAACGCTCTCAACGAGAGAATGGGAAGGGAACGCTCTCAACGAGAGAATAAAAAATATATAGATTTAAGTTTTCTTTAGCAATAAACCATGAATATGAAATAATGAAAACAAAAGAAAAAAAAAATATAAGACATCTTAGGATTCAAAAATGAAATCTGGCTGCATTTACTGTAAAAAAAAAAATAAATAAAAAAATAAAAAAAAAATAAATAAATAAAAATTACAAATGATAACTTACAAACGAAGAGAAAATATCATTTTAAAGAGACAACTCATGAATTTAATTGTGAAAACTGAAAAGAAATATGCATATATATTGTTCATTTCTTAAATAAACTTTCAACTATACTTTAGGTTGTTTCATATTGGTTTTTGGTGCTTTGTATTTTTAGTTGGTATAATTTGTTTTATTTATTTATTTTTTAAATCTGGAAGAGGCCACTCAAAAACATGCGCATAAAGTTTTTGCATTCGTTTTTATTTTTTATTGGTCCATAAATATACAACTATAATTTCTGAAGACACAACGGGTTAATTTTATTCTTAATGTTTTATTTGTATATGGTAAATTATTTTCTTAAGAATGACTATAACGTATCGTCTTTATCGAAACATTGCGACATATAAAGTTCTACAACTTGCAATAAATGCAACGACGATTTTTTCTTCATCATACATCACAATTGTTAGTTTTATTTTTCATTGTTTTAAAATATTATATATTATTATTATTAAATGTTTTATTATTGTTATTTGGAAATAATTTTGTATTTATAAATAATAAGTTAATTATAATTATCTTAAATTTCATGCAAGCTATGTTTGGGCTATTGATCTAACATTGATGGTGATCATCTTGAGTATTTTTTAAATATAATAAGAAAATAAAAATACAACTTTAAAGTATATAATAAAAAACAATTCGATATGTATAGACATAAACTTTTATTTTGTACAATGAGGTGAACATTTATTGTCATAGTTTGTATACAATATAAAAATAATTGATTTAGTGTTCAAACATAGCATCTAATTTAGTTACATCTATGGGTAAGCATTACAAGAATATTGCAAAATGATATTGTAAAATGAAAAAGAAAAAAATTAGAAAATGATAACATAAAGAGTGAGAGGTCTCAACAACAATATGAGTATAAAAAATGATAATATAGTTTTGAATGGTCCTATTGATTGAATATTTGATCCAATAATTATTTGTACCATTTATTTCATTTAAACTTAAATGTGAGGTTATCCAAAAGTAGGTGAAAAGCGGTTCCCCTTTTATGTTTTAATAAATACACAATTATTAGCTCAAACTTTTATAAATAAAATTAACATAATGTATCAGTTATCGTTTATTGCATAAGAAATGTTATGTGAAAATGACGTTATTTCATAAGAAAATGATGAGAACATATTATTGCAACTGAACATAGCAGTAGATAAAGGTAAACACTATTTATTATAATGCATCAACTACTTTTTCCTTATCATATACCATAATGTTAATTTCACAAAAAACCTTTTAGATTTTATATAATACTCCCTCCATTTTGAAATATAAGGCATTTAAGGTTATTGCACAAATATTAAGGAGACATTAATTAATGAATAAATTGACTAAATTAACCTTATTTACTCTAATCACAACCACTCCACACTTCCTTAATTTCAACACAATGAGGGTATATTTAGAAAAAAATGCAAAAATTTGTCTTGATTTTTGAGCGCGCCTTATATTTCAAAAAAATTGAGAAATCTTTATACGCCTTATATTTCAAAATGGAGGGAGTATAATATAAGTGTCTTTCGTATTACTTTACGAAAATTTTGTCAATGTGCATTTCTAAAAAATATATTTAATTACAATTCTCATTGGTTTCATGCAAAAATGAGTATTTTATTATTACATTGAATTTAAATTGTCATGGATTTCATGCAAAAAAAAATAAGTATTTTAATAAACACACAATTATGCGGCAAAAATTTTTATAAATAAAACTAGCATAATATGTCTATTGTCGTTTGAATTTGTTCATATAACAATTTTTTTTTTTTTTTTTCATAAGAGAGTGATGAGAGCATGTTATTGCAACTGAACATTGCAGTAGATAAAGTTAAACACAACTTATTAATGCAACAACTACTTTTTTCTTATCATATACCATTATGTTAGTTTTATAGAAATGTTTTTTTCTTCTCTTAGATTTTATATAATATAATTTAAATGTCTTTTTCGTATTATTTTGCAAAAATTTTGTCAATGTACATTTAAAAAAATTATATTGAATTATAATTTTCATTGATTACTGGATCTATTTATAACTTTACGAAAAATGATCAATCTTTCACGTCATTCTTTAATCACCATTGCACTTATTTTGCAAGACAATGAAATGTTGAGATTTATTTGGTTAATAAAGAATTAAAAAATTTGTGGACCAATTTATAACTAAATAAGTGCAGATCGAAATTGGGTCGTTTTTATTTTTTTTTTCTTTAGTTTAATTTATATATGAAAATTTTATTTTTCTCATCTTCGTACATATTAACTTTAATTATTCATATATTATTTTATTTATAGAATAGTAATTATGACTTTGTTTTTTTTTTGGAATTTATGAAAATTATATTATCACGTAGACATTTTTATGAAAAAATTTGAAGGAGTGTCATTAATGTGACAAATAATTTTTTTAATGGTATGTCACGTATTTTTGTAAGCTTATGAATTTAATTTTGAAAATTTTAAGAAAAATATATATTGTATTTTTTAGTTACAAACTATTATATGTTGTTATTGTTTATAGAGTCAAGAATTTATATTGTCTAATTATTATTATAATTGGTGATAATGAACACACTTCATCTACTATTAAATGTATTGATAAAATTTTTATTCTACATTATTTCATTAGATTTTTTTAAAATAATTTTTTATTAAATTATAATTCATTCACATCATTTTTATTATGAGGATAGTTGGATATAATGTCTGTGAGCGTACTCAAGTCTGAACTGTTACCATCACAAGAAGTCCATATAAGTCGCGACACTTCTTCCTCACCCGTCAAGCTCCCGTCCATGGAGGATGACCACAGTAACGATAAAGCGACCGTCGACACCGCCAAAGCCGACCGATCTGTCTGGCTCATGAAGTGCCCGCCCGTTGTCTCCAAGTCGTGGCAATCCTCCGCCGCCACCGCCGCCGCCGCCGAATCGCCGACGGTGGCCAAAGTGGTTGTCTCCCTTGATCTCCTCCGGCCCGAAGATCCCCCCGCCCTCCAAGTAAGAATTTCCTTCCCCTTTTTCTTACACGCTAGATTTGTTGTATCTGTGTGATTTCTTTGTGAGATTTTATGATTTGGGGTTTATTCGGGTGGGGTTTGTGAATTGTGTAGGGTTCTGATTTCTGACTTTTGTTCCAATGTGTGTGCTTAAGTTTACTATGGAGATGGCTGCGGGTGAGTCTGTGGCTGTACCCAAGAGCTACTCGCTCAACATGTTCAAGGATTTTGTTCCCATGGCTATTTTCTCTGAAACAACTGAGGGTGAGTATTTTCTCTGAGACAACCGAGGGTGAGTGCAAGTATTTTATGACCTAATTTTTGGGCCACTTGTAATGCTAACTGATGACCGCCTCTCTCATCTTCTGCTGGTTTCTTTTAATTATTTGTACTGATCTTGAAGGCAAGAATTTCTTTTAGGTATACGGATGAACTCTTGTTGCTAACAATTAATCTTTTCGCGACTATGTATGAGATTTTGAATGATCTTTGGTGTTAAGTCACATTTGTTGAAAGGTTAGGACTGCGATCACTGCAAAGTGTGGATTTTGTTCATTCCTTTAATTGGTTTGCTGCTGTTAACGTGCGGACTTAAAGTTATTTTATGATGTGACTCGGAGTCCTGGAGTATGGATGTGCTAAATGGTTAAAGAAATCTTAGGAGGCTTTATTTATTTTTAGCTATATTGTGAAAATTATGTTGCTTTATTCACGTTAAAGTTTTGATCACCAAAATCTGCTCCTTGCTTATTCTGAAGGTTCTAAATTTGCTTAAGTGAGTGGATATATGGCAATGGGAGGCCACGACTACTTATGAATAAGATTTTGTTGAAATATCCTTTTATAAGAACTTAATGGATATATGTGAATCAATTGTTACTGATTCGATCATACCGATGTATGGATGATTGGTTTATGCTAGTTTGTATGTTATACACGCAAAATAATGAAGTTTTATTTTTATGAAACCCTTGGTAAAGTGGATTGTCTTGATTTGTTTTCATTTTGCACGTGTAAAAGGCTGTACAACTAATTAACATGACCATACCTCAGAAAGTTCAGTAGGAATGGGTGACTAGATCAGGTCATCAGGTTTGCTTCATTAGTGCACGGAGACGATATTTGTTGTCTTTCAATTTGTTAGATAATGTTTATTTACTTCATTGTTTTCACAACATAACTATCTTGGAAGGTATTTAAAGTGAACATTGATGTATTTTTTAGTCTGTTGATTTATCGAGCAGTAGTTGCTTATAGAGATTCTGTTGTGTTCAATTTTGAAAAGAATTATCCAAAACATTAGTATAACTAGGAATTGTTTACCATATTATACCAATAATCATTTCCACATTTTCTAGAAAAGTTTTAGTTTACCTTCATCCAAGGTCCTCACTTTATTTTTCCCTTTTCTTTTCTGTTCTTTCTTTTTTTCCCCCCTTAAGGTGCTCTGTTTTGTTGATCTTTTTTTTCTCCTTATATAGTCAGATTGTCTTGGATGTACACTGTAGTCATGTATTGTATTTGGCCTTTTGATAATTGTCTGTATCAATTTGTTTTTCCTTAAAGGAAGAGTGGCAATGGAAGGGAAGGTGGAACACAAATTTGACATGAAGCCTCACCACGCAAATCTTGAAGAGTACAGAAAACTGTGTCGAGAAAGGACAAATAAATCCATGGTCAAGAATAGACAAATTCAGGTCATATCAGTACCTTTATTTTAATATGATTTTTCTTCTTTATTCTTCTCGTGTACCACAGCCATACCAAAATTGTTATTTCAGCTTGGCATTGATGTTTTATCAGGTGCTTGATAATGATCGTGGTGTGCACATGAGGCCTATGCCTGGGATGATGGGGCTGGTTACATCGACTTCTAAGGTGATTACTTTACTTTTTTACTTTTGTTTTTTATTGAATTATTTGGAGTTTTTGTGAATAAATAGAATACGATTAAGTTAGGTTCTAGGAGTTCATACACAAAATTGTTCTGAGAAATCTGCTTAATTTGGAGATGTTAGCCTGCAGAGTATTATTTTATGAAGGAAATGTAATTTTATTTAATTGTTTTTAACTTGGCAGGAAAAGAAAAAAGCAGCTCCAGTAAAGGGTTCAGATATGAAAAGAACAAGAAGGGATCGTGGGGAGCTTGAAGAAATTATGTTTAAGCTTTTCGAAAGGCAGCCTAATTGGACACTGAAGCAGTTGGTTCAAGAGACAGATCAACCTGCTGTATGTCTTTGCTTATCTATTTATTTATTTATATTTTTTTTTTTGTGGAGAACTATATTTGGTTGTCTGCGTATCTTGAGGTTGATTTTAGTTATAAAAGCTCATTTTATATGTAACAAGTGCTAATTGACAATATTGTTGCGCGTTTTATTTTCACAGGGTCAACATGCTTAATCTTGTTTGGCTTTCTTTGCAGCAATTTATGAAGGAGATATTGAATGAGCTCTGTGTATACAATAAAAGGGGAGCAAATCAAGGTACATATGAGCTGAAGCCAGAGTATAAGAAATCTGCTGAGGATGCAGTTGCAGAATAATGTATCTGTCATTGTCATTGTCTGTATCAGTTCTACTAATGATGAGAAATACTGTTGTCTATGTAAGGATACTAGTGTTTCACATTTGTTCTTTAAGACATGGCTTAATACTGGATATACTGTTCTTGAAAACTCAGGGAAGAAGCTTATCGATGTGAAAGAGGCACATATACCAATATTTCTCATTATTTGTAACATGATATTATCGATGTGAAAGAGGTGTTAGATTTTGATTAATTGTTTGTCTCATATCGGATGTATACCAAAGATGTGTAGGATCTTATTAGTATAAATAGGTCATTTGTCTTTGGGTTATAATTGCACCTTATTCTATTCTCTCCTCTCTTAGAAGGAAATCCTTAATTAAGGAAATTCTAATTTGTGGGTTATTTAACCTTAGTTGTATTTTGTTGGTGAGTTTGGTAAATTTGTCGTTGCGGTTGGCGGTGCCCGGAGACGTAGGCTATTTTCGCCGAACTCCGTTATCAATTTTTGTGTCATTTTTATTTCTTGTCTTTTATTTATTTGTGTTGGCTTATTTTCGTTTGGAGTAGTGCTTGTCATATTTGTTGGAGTGGTAGTTTTGTTCGTTGCGCTTGGTGTTCTACCCCAACAAGTGGTATCAGAGCCGAAGGTTCGCCCTAGGCTTATTCGGAGAGGCGAGCACTGCATTCGGGTCCGAGATGTCTAAGGAGGTCAAGGGCGCATCATCCTCTACATTCATTCCGGCAAGGACGGTGATGCTGAACGTCAAACTCCCAGTGGAGATCTTCGATGGGATTGGGCATTTCAGCATGTGGCAAGGAGAGGTGTTGGATTGCCTATTTCAGCAAGGCGTCGACATTGTCATTGAAGAAGAGAAGCCAACTGACGTTGAAGAGAAGGATTGGAAAAATATCAACCGCTTAGCATGTGGAACAATCCGTTCGTGTTTGTCGAGGGAGCAGAAGTACGCGTTCAAGAATGAGAATTCTACTCGCACTTTGTGGAGGGCTTTGGAGGATAAATTTCTGAAGAAAAGCGGCCAGAATAAGCTCCTCATGAAGAAGCGATTGTTCCGATTCGAGTACCGGCATGGCACATCGATGAATGACCACGTCACTGCATTCAATCAGTTGGTTGTAGATTTGTTGAATTTGGACGTCACATTCAACGATGAAGATTTGGCTCTAATGAGTTATCGTCACTTCCAAACGACTTCGAGCACTTGGAGACTACACTACTCCATGAGAAGGACGATGTTACTCTTGCAGTGGTCAGTTCTGCTCTGTATAGCTACGAGTTGAGGAAGAAGAACAAACAAGAGACAAAGAATGCAGCAGCAGAAGATGAAGCGTTGGTTGCAAGAGGTCGGTCGAAGAGCCAAAAGAAGAATGAACGAGGAAGATCACGTTCCAAGGCCAAGCTTGAAAAAGACGAGTGTGCTTTCTGCCATGAGAAGGGGCACTGGAAGAAAGACTGACCTAAGTTGAAGAAGAAGGGTAAATCTCCTCATGATGCATATGTTGCTGAGGGTGAAAGTGAAGACTCAGAATTTTCACTTGTGATTTCACCTTCATCATCTCATCCAGATGAATGGATTTTGGATTCAAGATGCACCTACCATATGTCTCCCATAAGGGAGTGGTTCTATGATTTTCAAGAGATCGATGGAGGGGTTGTCTATATGGATAATGATAATGCTTGTAAGACGACCAGGATAGGTTCAATCCGTTTAAAGAATCGCGATGGTTCCACCAGAGTTTTAACGGATGTTCGGTACGTGCCGAGTTTGAAGAAAAACCTCATCTCATTAGGAGCCTTGTAATCCAAAGGCTTGGTAGTAACTTTGCGAGATGGAGTTATGAAGGCTACATCCGGCTCGCTCGTGGTGATGAAAGGCATCAGGAAGAATAATTTGTATTACTATAAAGGTGATACAGTCGTTGGGACAACAACAGTAGCAGATTCCACCAATAAGGAGTCTGAAGCAGTCAAGTTGTGGCATATGCGGTTGGAACATGCTGGTGAAAACTCCTTGCAGACATTGGCAAAACAAGGATTGTTGAAAGATGTCAAAGTGTGCAAATTAGACTTTTGTGAGCATTGTGTTTTGGGAAAAGAGAGTGAAGTTTGGAACAACTATCCATAACACGGAAGGTGTCTTGGATTATGTTCATTCGGATGTTTGGGGACCTTTTAAGACCCCATCATTAGGCGGAAGACGCTATTTTGTCACTTTCATCGACGACTTTTCCAGACGTGTTTGGGTGTACACTATGAAGACGAAGGATGAAGTGCTTAGTGTCTTCATTACATGGAAGACACAAATTGAGAATCAGACTGGAAGAAAGATCAAGGTCCTACGAACGGACAATGGTGGAGAATATACAAGTGATCCCTTTCAAGAAGTTTGCCGTAAAAATGTCATTGTGAGGCACTTCATCGTCAGACGGACACCACAACAAAATAGGGCGGCGGAGCGCATGAATCGAACATTGGTGGAGAAAGTTCGATGTATGTTGTCCAATGCTGGTTTGAGCAAGGAGTACTGGGCTGAGGTTGTAACATACGCGCAACACCTCATAAATGGATTGCCGTCATCTGCAAAAGATGGTAAAACACCGTTGGAGGTATGGTCGGGGAAACATGTTGCTGACTATGGATCTTTACATGTCTTTGGGTGTCCTACGTACTATCATGTGAAGGATTCAAAGTTAGATCCAAGAGCGAAAAAGGCTTTGTTCATGGGAATCACAATTGGCGTGAAGGGATATCGTCTTTTGTGTCTTGAGACGAACAAAACTGTGTTCAGCAGGGATGTTACATTTGATGAACAAGGTATGATAAAGACGACGCAAACCCAACAGGTGGAGTTGACACCGAAGCAGGTGGAGATAGATGTGATGACAAGACGACTAGATATGATCGACGAACCAATATCAAAAGATTCGTCGGATGATGAAGTTCAGACTCAAGAATCATTGGAGTTACCCATTGAATTGAGAAAGTCCAGACGAGAGATCCAACAACCTGCTCGATTGGTGAATATGGTAGCTTATGCACTTCCAATTGTTGATGATGACATACCTTTCACTTTTCAAGATGTAATTCGGAGTTTAGAAAATGAGAAGTGAAAAAGGGCTACGGAGGAAGAAATGTTGTCTCTGTAGAAGAATCAGACTTGGAAGGTGACGCAACTACCAAAAGGCAAGAGGGCAATAGGATGCAAGTGGGTATATGTAAAGAAAGATTGATTTCCTCATAAGAATGATGTGCGCTACAAGGCAAGATTGGTGGCTAAAGGCTACACTAAGAAGGAATGAGTTGATTATAATGAAGTGTTTTCTCCAGTTGTCAAGCACTCTTCTATTAGAATTTTGTTGGCCTTAGCAGCACAGTTGGATTTGGAGCTAGCTCAACTTGACGTGAAAACGGCGTTCTTGCACGGAGATTTAGATGAGAAAATCTACATGACTCAGCCAAAAGGATTCAAAATTTTTGGAAAAGAGAATTAGGTCTGTAAGTTGAACAAATTGTTGTACAGACTGAAGCAATCTCCGAGACAGTGGTACAAACGGTTTGATAAGTTTATGATTGGGCAGAAGTACACGCGAAGCAGACATGATCATTGTGTGTATCTACGCAAGCTGCAAGATGGATCTTTCATTTACTTACTCTTGTATGTGGATGACTTGTTGGTTGCATCAAAGAGCCAAGTGGAGATTGATCATTTGAAGGCTCAGTTGAATCAAGATTTTGAGATAAAAGACTTGGCGAAAGCTAAGAAAATTCTCGGGATGGAGATAAGTAGGGACAGAAAGAGAGACAAGCGTTGTTTGACTCAGAAGCAATATCTGAATAAAGTACTACAACTTTTCGGCATAAAAGATGAGACGAAGCCTGTAAGTACACCACTTGCCCCTCATATTAAGTTAAGTGCCCAATTATCCCCAAATTGTGATGAAGAACGGGAGTACATGGATAGAGTCCCATATGCAAATGCAGTTGGCAGTTTGATGTATGCGATGGCGTGTACAAGGCCCGACATTTCACAAGCAGTTAGTGTTGTTAGCAGGTATATGCATGACCCTGGTAAAGGTCATTGGCAAGCTGTGAAATGGATTCTAGGGTACATTCATAATAATGTAGACGTTGGATTAGTTTATGAACAGAATGAAGTTGGTCAGTGTGTAGTTGGATATTGTGATTCTGACTACGCGGGTGATTTGGATAAGCGAAGATCAACGACTGGATATTTGTTCACTTTTGCAAAAGTTCCATTCAGTTGGAAGTCTACCTTACAGTCAGCAGTTGTTTTGTCTACAACAGAGGCAGAGTATATGTCAGTTACTGAAGCTGTCAAGGAAGCTATTTGGCTTCAAAGTTTGCTTGAAGACTTGGAGTTAGTCAAAAGCATGTCTTAGTGCATTGTGACAGTCAGAGCGCTATTCACTTAGCGAAAAATCAAGTATTTCATGCAAGAACGAAGCATATTGATGTTCGCTATCACTTTGTGCGGGAGATTCTAGAAAATGGAACCGTTGTGTTGAAGAAGATCAAGACGACGGAGAATCCTGCAGATATGATGACCAAGGTCGTGACAGCAGTCAAGTTTGAACATTGTTTGGACTTGACTAACATTCTGCATATTTGAGTTGGCACCGATAGGCGCATTTGGAGGCACCGTCAGCAGTTGATTTGGATTGAAGAGTAGAAGTGAGAGCAAAATTAGTCAAGGTGGAGAATTATTAGATTTTGATTAATTGTTTGTCCCACATCGGATGTATATCAAAGATGTGTAGGATCTTATTAGTATAAATAGGTCCCTTACATTTGGGTTACAATTGCACCTTATTCTATTCTCTCCTTTCTTAGAAGGAAATCCTAATTTGTGGGTTATTTAACTCTAGTTGTATTTTGTTGGTGAGTTTAGTAAATTTGGCCTTGCGGTTTGCGGTGTCCGGAGACGTAGGCTATTTTCGCCGAACTCCGTTATCAATTTTTGTGTCATTTTTATTTCTCGTCTTTTATTTATTTGTGTTGACTTATTTTCGTTTGAAGTAGTGCTTGCCATATTTGTTGGAGTGGCAGTTTTGTCCGCTGCGCTTGATATTCTACCCCAACAAGAGGCACATAATATTTCTCATTATTTGAAACATGATCTTGGATAATTGTTTCTTTTGGTGACTTACCACTTCTGTGCACAAATTATATCTTAGTAACTTTTTTTATATGTATATAACATAAGAATTTTGTAAAATAGAACACTTCCGTCTTCCACATTTGCCACATTTGCTAGTTTGTACGTTGTG